GTCTGGCTCTGATACCAATTGTAATGGCCCAAGCTCACTGCATGTAGACATTGTCCTCTTTGAGCTTTCTCTTTCGAGCTTCCCCTCAAGGTTTGTTTTTAAAATGCGTCTGCTAGGGAGAGGTTTCCACACCCTTATAAAGAATGTTTCGTTCTTCTCCCCAACTATATCTCATAGTTTTGCATTCAGAATTCCACATTCTTTCCCTCTACGTCTAAAATCGCGATTCAACTCTGTTTCTCAGCAGTTGTTTCAGTGGTCTATCCATGCTTAATTCAACCCTCTCTCTCTCTCTCCCCTTCTATCCCGGTCCTCCTCATCCTTTTGTTTCTCTAGAATATAGACTTGGAGCACAGAAATGATTTCTAGTTGCTATTGGTAAAAGACATGGTTATATCATACTCTTGTTATTGATCTGTTTGTGGGCTGAATTCGATCTGTCATTTAGAACACCTTGGCATTAATTCAGTTTTGGTGCAGGGGTTAAACTATGTTGCTGCATTGTTATTGCTTGTGATGAAAACAGAAGAAGATGCTTTTTGGATGCTAGCTGTCCTCTTAGAAAACGTTTTAGTTCGTGACTGTTACACGACCAATTTGTCGGGTTGTCATGTCGAGCAAAGGGTGTTCAAAGATTTACTTACCAAAAAGTGTTCCAGGTGCCTAAACTTGTCATGACATTGATTTATTGTCTAATTAGTTCAAGCATTCTTATAAATTGGAATGTGAATTCAGGTTAGCTGCCCATTTGGAAGCATTGGATTTTGATGTCTCCCTTGTCGCCACTGAGTGGTTCCTGTGTCTTTTCTCCAAAAGCCTTCCTTCTGAGGTTAGAAGTATGCTCCCTCTGGGTGCCCACGCTTGATCTTTTTCTGAACTTTTAGCTGACCAAATGTTTGTATTAGAAAGCTCTTTCAATCATGTTTTAGTTCTAGAAGAGACTGAAACATCGTTTTTCACAGACGACTCTACGTGTTTGGGACGTCCTTTTCTATGAGGGAGCAAAAGTTTTGTTTCATGTGGCTTTGGCTATCTTTAAGGTAACTGCTTGGAACTCGAATCGATATTAGAGATTATCTGTTTTTACTGCTCGGTCGAAGTTCGATTAATGACCATACTTCATCTCGAAACCAATTTCAGATGAAGGAAGACCAGTTGCTTCTATCCCATCATGTGGGAGATGTGATTAATATTGTTCAAAAAACTACACATTACCTATTCGATCCCGATGATCTACTCACGGTAATTGTCGTTTCTGTAACATCTTTGCGAAGTTCAATTTCTTCTCGTCTCGATATTGTTGTTGACTAACTGCGGTTGGAAGCTTTGAGTTGTGAATTCATGTTCTTTGAAACATTGTTACTAACTCGAAGAACATTTGGTTTGATCGACATCTTTTCGGACAATGGTTTGAACAAAGCGTTTGGATTGTGAACCTGTTGCAGGTAGCATATGACAACATCGGATCAACGACGACCAATACGATATCGAAGCAAAGGAAAAAGCAAGAACCAGCAGTTATGGCTGAGCTTGATCAGAGATTGAGGAGATTAAATTCCCTCCACGAGGATGACAAATAATATCTTGGATTCCCACCTGTCAAGCTGTTCAAACTGTAACATTATAGCCATTTTAATGGGAGAAAATACACGACTTCTTCCCTGCCAGAAAGTAAAGTAAAACAAAAACAAGAGAGCATCTGTTTTTCCATGGTGTTTGTTTGTAGCTTTATGAAATGTAAATTATAAATATTCTTACTTTTTAATGTACACTGTTAATTACACTGCAAAAGAAAGTTTTGTGGGTGTCCCATGCTCTGTAATTTCTGTTCTCATGTAATGAGCAATCTGTTCATGGAATCAGATTTGATTTCCTTTCGACATTGCATTGAACAAAATTGATACACACACAAATAAACTGAAACTTCTTTATCCTTCACTCAATAAAACAGGAGCAATCCAGTTGAAATGGCTAAAACCAACTGGCTCCAGAGTACCATTCCAGCAATCCTAAAGGAAGAAGACGGAGACTCGGTCGATGATGGAGAAACACTGTCCTCTGTTTCAGCAGGAGCGACGTTGGGGCTTGGTACTGGTGCTGGCGTGGGAGGGAAATCGGTTCCGAAGATTGCCTCTGGAAGGAGTACATGATCGACTTGATAAACTGCAATGGGATCGGTCGAAAGCACGCTGCTGCTCACCTTTGTGTTGGTCCAGCCTGAGCTGATGTGAACAGTGCCAGATGCATCAGTAAAATTCAAAGTGTAGTGCTGACCGGCAAATGTTGTGATGGGACCCTTTTGGCTAAGGCCGTTGAAATCAGCTAGAGTGTAGTAATGTGGTAAGGCATGAAAGAGTAACAGTGATTTGAGCTGGTCGTTGGTGAGGTTGGATAGTGAAGGCTTGTTGAGGGATGAAAATGCACCATCTTTTGGTACAAATATGGTTATTCCCTCTACTGAATCATTGGCTTGCTTTTGGAAGGTATCAATGACTTTGGTGGATTCAAGGTAGCCAAGAAACTTATGGAAGGGACCAGCTACTGTTAGCAAATCAGCGAGGTTGACATGATCAGCGGCCGGTGCCGGGGCTGGTTCCGGTGCGGGAGTCGGGCTAATTGAAGGAGGCTTAGGAGCAGCAGTTTGAGCACATGCTGGTGAAGAGGGCATGAGCATCAGCCAAATACCAAACAAGAGAATGATGCAGAGTTTCATTTTGTTTCTCTGTTTTGTCCCTGAAATGCAAAAGGCATGGTATTAGGCTCTTGAACCAAACAAAGCACAAAGAAAACAAAAATGCACATAAATGGGGATGGCATTAGAAAGAGGGACAAGAGAGAAGAGTAACTGGGAGAAGGCTGAGAAGGCGAGAGGGATGAAGGAGAAGAGGAGAAGAGGAGCATATAAATGAGGATTGTTGGGATGTAAAGGGCGGAAGGTGAAGGGTGAGCATTGTGGAATCAGCAGCAGACCCCAGCGGTGGTTCTGTTTGTTCCTTATAAGGGATGAACAAAATCCAAACCAGACAGAGACATGTAGGTTGCTGTTTCACTGTCATAAGAACATGTAGTTAAGGTTATTTGTCACTACTCCTTCAAAAAAATAACAACGGTAAAAGACGATTACTAATTTACGTGGAGAGTGTCACAACCACTCTCCACGCTAGGCTAAGAATACATTAGTTTTCTGCTCTTGGATTAGTTGCAAATAGATAAGGCGATACCTTTTTAAGTTGTGCTGACCATGTTTGCCACGTGTCATGAGTTAATTTGGTGAATAGTGGGTCCACCTTGGTGGCCCAGCCCACCGCCCATTCCAAATTAGAGATGATCTTTTGCCTACTTTTGACACTACTTTCTGGCTCTTTGCCCCCACCCTCCTGCCCATTATTATTATTATTATTATTATTATTATTATTATTATTATTATTATTATTATTATTATTATTATCATTATTATTATTATTTGAATAAACAATAAGAATCACTTTATTCAAATTAAATAGACGATTTTTTTTTTAAAATCTATTTAAGGCTATAAAATTTTTAAATACCTCAAATATATGTTTTAATACTTTGTAATTTAATATTATTAGTTAATATGAAAAACGTCGTTGATTTTTTTTATTTTTTATTTTAATTATTTTTCAAATGCATGAACGTTGAAAGTTTTGGCCAATATTAAAGTATTGGTTGGAAGGTCGATGACGTTAAGCAGAAAAGGGATGCCTGCATGCTTAGCTGGCCTCCACGTCACCAATCATACTCAGCCATTCATAGACTTTTTCGCCATGTGGCGGCTAAGTGGGGCCCTTCTTCTATAATCTCTTCATCATCACCAATCACATTCACTAAGTGGGTCCCCTCCTTTATGATGAGTCAAATTTCAAACGCCACTCATAATTGCTCTTCATGCGTTGGCCTCGAGCTCCTGGGACCCACATTTCCACGTCTGCTTCTCAATTATTTCAAATTAAAATTTAAAAACAAAAAAAAACAACATTGAAAATTTGATGAACTGAAATGCAAATTTAACAAAGAGTTGAAACTTATCGATAGCTAATTAGACAATATTTATTGGCGGTGAGCTTGAACGGTTAGAAATTGTATTAGAGCCGATAAAGGAAGATATGTCAGCGAAGAGGTTGGGCTCCAAAGAGGTGAACTATGAAATTTCACATTCGTTAAAAATGAGAACGAAACATTTCTTGTAAGAACGTGAAATTCTCTGTCTAGTATACGTGTTTTAAACCCTTAAAGCTGACGTGAAAGTGGGTCTCGAACGTGAAAATCTCTCTCGAGTTGTTTTTTTTTTGTCATACCCACATTAAACATTTCATTAAAATTCTCAAAACATCTCCTCACTGCCACTCCATTCTCTTGTCTGTCCTATATAAGCCACTCTCATGCTTCCTCGTACTTCCATCCCACCCTTTCTTCCTCTGCTTCAATATCATGTAACTCTGTTTTATCTGTGTTCATAAATTTTTATAGGATTATCATAATTATACATTTCAGCTTCTTTTACATATGTTTGTGTGTGATCTTTTGAAAATTTGGGGACAAATTCGAATTGGGTCATTGTTCATTTCTTATTTCCTGGCTCCGATGGGGTTGTTTTGCTGATATTGCAGGTTGTACCACCGGAGTCAGCTCTGTTTAAGTAGAAACCAAGGAAGTAGTTCTTGAAGAAGAGCCAAAGGAAGAAGCTGCTGAAGAATAGGCGGCTGAAGTGGCAGCTGAGCTTGTGGTGGAAGAGGAGACCAAACCAGCAGAGGCTGAGCCACCGGCGGTGGAGGTGGTGGAAGAGAAGCCTGCAGAAGAAGCAGAGGAGAAGCCAGAAGAAGAATCTGCAGCTGAGAAGGCCGAGTAATTGAATTTGAATCCAAATTATGGTTGAGAAATTTGGTCACTTTAATGCATTTTTGTTCATATTATTCAAGAACTATAACACCATATGATCGGACGCTTAGAATGAACGGCCGCTTAGAATCATAATTTAATTTGTTTATGTGTATAACAGAGCTCTGCTCTGTTCTGCTTTTATTAAGCTACAAAGATGAAAAGGGTACAACTTTCATAACCATTTGAAGAACATGATTACTATTCAAAGAGGGAATCGATCCGATTCAGGCTACCAAAATGAACGACAGTATGAAACCAATTGGGCATGCCCTCAAAAATGACATCCTTAAATTTCCCAGTAGTTGGATTGAAAAGAACCAGAGCTCTGTTTCTATACTCCAACAAAATCTCTCCACTTTTCAAAATGCAAACAACTTTAACGATTTTACTCCGCAGAACAATCTTGGAGACCTTGAAAGAAATCTCTGATGCTTCTTGTTTGATGGATTTGGGCATGTAAGTCCCAATGTTAAAGCGTTTGACCCAAGATTCCTTCACGCCGTACTGTTCCATGACCCATATCTCCATTTTGCCGTGAGTACAGTAAACGGCGGCTGAGAGACACCCATTTAGAATCACTAAATGGTAATTACAACGACTCAAGCTCCCATAATCGGGCTTTGGGATGTCTATGAATTCCTCTGTTCCTAAGTCAAATGAGACGATGGTGCGACCGTGATGGTGCCGTCGAGGTAGAGAAACCCAGTGGAGTCTGCCGTTGACGATGGCCTGCGACTGACCATGAGCTAGATGGTGGCTAATTCTGCCTACGCTTCTCCAATTCGAGCTTCCCAAAGTGAAAATTTGAACTTCTGAGTGGTGGACGCGTCTCTGGATACGACGGAAGCCTCTGGAGTAAACAATCTTAATCACTTTGAACTGTTTGGTTTGTGGATGAAATCCAATCCCACAAACCACATCCGGGTTCGGAAATTCCTTGGTTTTGGGTAATTCCAGGTACTCTCTAGTAAAGGGGTTGTATATAAAGAGCTTTTCATTGTAAAGAGAATCCGATAAACAGAGGAAGCCATTGCAGGAGCCTACGACGTCGTACTCAGGCATTGTAGCAGAAAAAGGAGTGGAAATCCTCTTGACGGGCTGTTTTTGTTGTTGGAAAGCAGGGAAATCGACGAAACAGAGGTGGTTTCTGATGGGGTAATCACAGTGGAAGATTAAGCAACGAAAGTTTTCATGTTGGTCAAGAAATTGAGGGTTTTGAGCGAGAAGACGCCATGACCTGCAAACATATTGGAAGCGAATCAAGGATGAAATGGGTAGGCGAGAAAGGATGTGGTGAAGAACATCATGGCTAAGATTATCCATTTGGTGTGGGAGATTGGGCTTCTTGTTGTGCAGGGGAAATGCAGAGCCTGCGGACATGATCGAAATGGTAAAGGCGAAAAGGAATAACAGAGTAGGGGTGTAAAGAAAGTGGTGTTTGGTGGCATCAAAAGATAATAAAAATGGGGATGGAAATTACAAGGAAGGAAGGAGTGTGGTTTGGTTGTGGGGTGTGGGGTCCACTTTTTGTTGAATAATTCCACCATTCCCCTCTAGATGGGAATATTATTCTTTCTATCTATCCACCCTTTGATCTATGGATGGATGGATGTAGATTCAATCATGGTATATTCTTAATAATAATTGTGATATCATTTCTTTCCATTACTTTAATTATTGTTACTAGATATTGTCTATTTTGATTTGTTACGTCTGATCGTTAGCTTTAAAACACGTTTGTTCGGAAGAGGTTTTGACACCTTTGTAAGAAATGTTTCGTTCTACTCTCTAATCGATGTGAGATCTCACAATCCATTTCCCTTGGGGACTCAGTGTTCTCGATGCCACACCGTTCGGATTTCCACACCCTTGTAAGAAATGCTTCATTCTCCTCTCCAATTGATGTGGGATCTCACAAACCACCTTCCTTAAGGGCCTAACGTCCTTGCTGGCATAACGTTCGGGTTTCTACACCCTTGTAAGAAATGCTTCATTCTCCTCTCCAATTGACGTAGGATCTCACAAACCACCTCCCTTAGGGGCCTAGCGTCCTAACTAGCACACCGCTTGAATTTCTACACCCTTGTAAGAAATGCTTTATTCCCCTCTCTAATTAACGTGGGATCTCACAATTCATTCCCCTTCAGTGCCCAGTTTCGTCGCTAGCACACCGCTTGATGTTTGACTCTGATACTATTTGTAACAACATTGACACACTGCTCAGTGTCTGCCTTTGATATCATTTATAACAACGCTAACACATCGCTCGATATCTAGTTCTAATACCATTAGTAACCGTGCTAGCACACTGCCTAGTGTCTGCCTCTAATGCCATTTGTAACAGCTCAAGCTTATCGCTAACAAATAATGTTCACTATGACCTACACATATCGCCTTCAACCTCATGATTTTAAAACGAGTCTGTTATGGAGAGATTTCCACACTTGTATAAGTAATGTTTCGTTCTTTCCAATTAATGTAGGATCTCATATTTACTCTAGCTATTAAAGAGAAGAAGAAGAAAAAAAAATAAATAAATAAGATGCATGATATAATTAATCTGAAACATTGGATTGAATATATGTAGAAAGAATAAGATGCATGATATGAAAATGATATCTAAATTGTTGATTTTAATCTAATATTTTTATTAATTCTTTCATATCTAGACTTAGGGAACATATGTTATTTTTATTTAGTAATTTAAATATACAAACCACCATCGCACGTTATCATTAAAATAATTTAATAATTTTTTTTTTAAGATTAGGGATTTAATATATTCATAGAAACAAAATAGGTTATATTCCTAACTAAAATTTCATAAAATTCAAATATTAAATATTTATAAGTCACGTGTGACATGTTAAATATTTTTTTTAAAAGGGGAGGACAAAAGTGAGAAATCACAGAATTAAGGGGGTAAAATGAAAATAAAAAAATAAAAAAATAAAAAGATGAAAAGGATGGGGTAAACATGTAATTTTGAATAAAAAGAGAGCGAGAAAAAGAAAAAGAAAAAGAAAGTGGGAAATAAGGAGAGGGAAGAAATAAGAATAGGTCCGTGCTGAGTCGTCAATCAATTAGGCATCAATTCTCCTTTTTTAACGCATGCGGGGCCCACTCATGTGCACTGCTGTCCTATTTTCTAACACCCATCATTCCGGGGTCTTGCCTTTTGTTCCCCTTGATTAAATCAACGGCGTTCCTTATCTTCTCCGAATGGCTCCTCCCAATGGACGGCTGGATTTGCATAAAAGTTGCCACCCGACCCGACTGTTTTGTCGGAAAACGGGCATGGCATATTTATAGGCTCCACAAACGTCACTTACGAGAGAAACAAAACAAAGAAATATATACGCACACTCGTGAAGGACACAGATACATCCCTGCAACTCACTTACCCACCACCTTAAATTTCCCCTTTTCCATTTAATATAAATTTATCAACTTTTATTATAATATATATATATATATATATATATACAAATTCTAACAACATAGTTGAGTATGTCTCGAGTTTCAGGGAGAAGAAGTTGGTTTTTCCAAATAAGATAATTAGATGAAGAAAGTTTGATGGTGATCGTATGGATTAGAGTGTTGAAAGGAAGAAGACGAGAAGTCGATTAAAAAGCCATGGAGAAGAAAAGATCGGGGCTGCTAAATCGGAGGGACTCTAATACCATTTAAATATTTGCTAAAGCCAATTTACCTAAATGACGGTGAAAGTTATCTATTTATAATTATTTACAAAATCAAATAGACTACAAAGGAAATGGAAAGAGCAATAAATAGATACACGATATTAGGTTACGATAAATATGTTAAACTATAATGGAAGACTAAATATTCTCAACAACAAATATGGTCAAACTACTTAGTCTAATGAATTTAGGATATAATACTTATCAAAGTAACCCTGATCATAAGATAGGATTGAACCAAGGTGACCATGTGAGCTTTTATCCCTTAGTTTGGCTTCTCGAGAGTCTAAATGGGCTTTGGGCAGGGTTGGTTCGGGTTCGAACTCAATTGACCATGAGTTTGGGTTGACTCGAGTTATGGATGATGGTGACCCCGTGACTCCCTTGATTCAACTTCTTTAGAGTCTAAATAGGCTTTGAACAGGGTTGATTCACGTTCGAACCTAATTAATCCTGAGTTTGGGATGACTCCCTGTAAAAGAAAGGAAAAAGAATTTCACGTTTTTCCTTTCACTTTCACGAAGGGAGGATTAAGAAAATCCTATTGACCGGAGCTTTTCTCCAAACTTCCAGGAAAAACATAAAAAAAAATAAAATAAAATAAAAGCTCGAATGGTACGATCCTTTCGTAACCCTAGAATGAAAGGGACAATCTTATAATTCTTGGTCTATGAAAATACGTTGTTAGAGTCTCCATTTTATTTTTCCATTGAGGTCGAACCTAAACCTATGGTCAAGAGATAGTTGTCCATATACTGATAAGGGATGTATGGATTCTCAGGAAGAGAGGAGCCAAAGAGGTCCCTCCTGAACCGCCTAGATCCCATGAGTGAATAGAAAGTTAGATCTATATTGGATCTCATCTGAATCAACCCGTCTATCTTCTTAAAGAGAAGTTTGGTTCCAAACTCTGTTCAAACAGGAGAAGAACGTCATGTTAATGGTCTTTAAAAGGGAGCGGGAAGGGTAGAGGAGAGAGTAGGGGAAGTAGGAGGAGTAAAAAGTGAACAAAAAGAAGTCCCAAGTTGAGAATTTAGGGGATTATGAAATGGAAAGTCCCATCCTCAATAGCCCACCAAAAATACTCCCATCCCATCTTCTCCCCTTCACTTTCTTCAAATTAAGTTGGTGCCACGCCAAAACCCCATTAATTTAATCCTCCAATTTCCCTCATCATCATCATCATCATCGTCATGTGGCGCCTCATCGCAGCTCTTCGCCCTACCCTCCACAACTTCACTAATAGCCACCGCGTCGCCGACGAGAGCATGTTCACTACAACTGAATTCCCCATCTACGCCGTCGCCAATCACCACCACCGCCGCCGCCCTGCTGCTCACCGCACCATCGCCGCCGTCTTCAGCATCATTCGTGCCCCTTTCTCTATCCTCTCTTGCTTCGCTCCACCACCCGTTCACTCCTCCGCCGACACCTTCTGGCTCTCCACCGATCACTATTTTGCCTCCACCATTTCCGAGACCAACCACCTTATGGTAAGCGACGGCATGCGTTACGCCATGTTGATGTAGAAACAGAACAACACTCACAACAACAACAAAAAAAAAAAAAAAAAAAAATCAAAACTTTAGCTTTTATTTGGGTTTTAGGTGAAAATAATCACTTGGGTTTTTCTTTTTTTTAGTTAAATTTGATTCAGTGTCTGTTTCTAATCTGTTCTTGTATTGTTTTCAGACGACCCTGATCCCAATCCCATAAATTAAATTAAAAAAAAAAAAAAAGGTTGCTCTTTTCCCAAAGAATATCAGTAACTCTCTGTCTTCTCTCTGTTTCTCAATAGAACAAGTACAAGAACGTATCAATGGCTTTCCTAGTACCTATCTCCATGCCTTACCTTTACCTTCTTTGTTTTCTTTTGATTCCTTTTCCTCTAAATAAACCCATATTTTTAGTTTTTACTACAAAAAGAAACTATTTTTCAATTGCAGATGAGGAAGAATCTTTCACGTAAGATGTGTAAACTTGTTCTTCGAGATGCATTTTGAGAGAAAATGTCGAAAGAATACCATATCTGTTAGCGGTGTGTAAGCATTTATACTATGATTAAAATATAATGCATAATTTGAGAGACCCATAATCAAATTAGCGTGTAACTAAGTATAGTTTAAAGTGATTAAAGATGGATGATGAGGTGCTTTAATATCTCCCAATGTTTGTGCGACATATATATATATATATATATATATGAAAAAAGCAGCTTTAATGGAAGCTCCTTTTGGAGGTACCAAGGGCTCGACTTTTGCTTCAAATACACGATTTCTGAATATAAATAAATAATTCCTAAAGTACACATCAAATTATTATTTTAATATTTCATGAATTTTTTCCCTCTTTATATTCATGGAAGCTGGAACTGATAATGACAGTGGGAATAAAGTAGGTTTTTTTTTTTTTTTTTTTTTTGGAAATTTCCCCCAATGAATGAATGAATAATAGAATTTAAACGTGGATGGTAGGCTAGTGCTTTTAATAAGATCATGGGAGCAATTTGATCGTAAAAAGTTAAAAATTCAACATTATTTGAATGAGACTGTCACAGTGTAATTATCTTATCGTAACGATTAGATGTGGATTTTAAAATCTATATGAGAATATATTTATTAAATTTATGAAGCGTGAGACAATTTTTTTTTTCTTTTTTTGTGTAAAAAAATCAACAAGAATTTAATAATAGTGATTATTTTAAGTTTCATGAAAAATAAATTAATATTTAAAAGTATATAAATGAAAAGCTGCATTGGGCTTTCCATTATCAAGCAGGACGGCCCTATCTCTTATTGGGCTTTCCATGTTCAACCAGGATCGCCCTCGCATTTATTGGGCTTTCCGTATTCAAACAGAACGGCCCACTCTCTTATTGGGCTTTGTGTATTACCTTATTGGGCTTTCCGTATTCAAGCAGAACGGCCCGATCTCTTCGAAAGCCCATCTCTTGAAGTTGAAGATATAATTATGAAATTTCAAAAAAATTTAGTAATTTTGGGTTCGTTTCATTTAAGATCTCGTTTGATAATCATTTTGTTTCTCTCGTCTTTTCAACCCTTAAGTATATTCGAATTTCGAGCTAAATTTCAAAAACAAAAAGCTTGGCTTGTATAATATATTTGAATTCTGAACTAAGTGTCGACTTTATTACTGATTTAAGCTCTTTTGTTCGTAAGAAGTGGAATAAAATAAGTGGATGAAGTTTTGGGTAAATGATACAATACTTTGAAAAAAGTCACATCAAACTAAATATCAGAAATGTAAACTTTTTAGAAGGGAAGAAATGGCAAAAAAAAGAAGAAGAAAAGCAAAATGTTCTAACATCCCCTTTTTTGGCCTTTGTTTCTAACTTTTTTAGGGCCACTTTGATACTCTTTTCCACTTTTACTCAATCCAATTTCCAAAGGAGAAAGCATAAAAGAATCAGATGTAAAGCTGTGGTGACAACGAGGGTCAGATTTTGAGTCTTTCACCTGTCAAATCTTTCAATTTTCCTTCCTCATGGTTTCTTATTGGAATTCAATTGGGAACCCACAAAGTCGACTTATAAGAATACATATCCTGTTTCTCGTGTTCTTCGTTATAGACTAAATTATACGGATACGACAATCTTTACCTCTTCTTAGGACCTGTTTGGAATGGCTTTTCAACTGCAGGACCTTATAGCCAGTTTTGTAAGACATAATGGAAAGCCAAAGAATAAAGACCTTATCACAAGCACGATGCAAATGTAAAAGTCAATGAATCGACTCGAGAGCTATACCAAAACCACAGTGCATGCTTTGCAGATTCCAAAGATATTTCCTCTTTTAAAAGAAACTATTGATAAAATGACTGAAAATGTATGAACTGATTGATCTGGGAAGAAAAGAAAAGAATAGAAAAGGAGCCCCACAAAAAAGGGGACGAATCTGAGACTGTTCCTCTTCCACCTTAAAAAATTAAAAGGGTTTGACAGTGCAACATATAAAGTTTTAGGCATATTTTCGGCTCGGTTATACGTTCAAAGCAGAAGCTAAAAACATCAAACAAGAATTTCATGTCGATACGAAAGCTAACCCGAAAAAGAGAGAAGAGAAAAGACGAAGAATTTGTGGTTATTTATTCACAGGGAGCCTAGATGGATATCCCTTGAATGTTTTTTTCACACTAACAATTCAACAAAAAGAGGAACTCTGATACAATCTGTTCAAAAAAAAAAAAAAAAAAAAAAAAAAAAAACAAACCAAAATGATGGGACAAACAGCATTCCTAAACAAAGCTCACAACTTTGCCTCAGGCATCACTGCTACAATTATGATGAACTTGAAAATTAGAAAAAGGGTGACCTTAAAAAAAAACAAGGCATAGTCTATAATAACTTTGTGGATGATCCCCACCTCACTGAAGATGCATGATGATACGTATTTTGCTATACTGCCGCAATCTGATTTTACATCTCACTCAAATATATGAAAGAAAAAAAAAACAAAAAAAGAAAGAAAATTTTCTAATCAAAACTCAAACCTGAACACAAAATCCCAAGTGGCTAAATACCTCTAAGCTTGGTTTTCAGCATCGGCACTCAGTTAGCTTTATAGATAATTCTTCTTTTTCCCCCTTTTTTTGTTGGGTAATTCAACTGAATATTCTATTTGATTATCTGCAACTTCACGTTCTTCACCAATTATCTTCATCTACTATGTTGACATATCCGATCGTTCCTAGGTAGTGTTTCCTGAACCAAAAAATGAGGAGGATACTCAGTATTAACACTATTTTTCACCAGAAAACTACAACAGATAAAAGGAGGAAGAAGAACAATGCGACGACGAGATCATTTAGCACAGAATGATACATAACGCTGTCGTGCCACTTGCTACCAGCACTTATATCCTAAACTTAATACCACATCAGAGATAATCTGATAGCATTTTGTGATTTTGGTTCACACTAGTTAAGGAAAGCATACAAAAAGGCTGTATTAAATTTAATCGATGTCCGAATGATTACATGATTAAATGAAACAGGATATAGTTTAGGACATACTAAATGCATAATTTCACTACTAGTTCTGACTCTGACTCTTGAGTGATAATGAGCATAGAAAGAAACAGCAACAGCCATGTCTTTTAGTGTATCAAAGAGGAGGATTCAACCATGAGGTTGTTATGCATTTACAATGTCCTAGAATTAGTTAAATGCTTGAGCTTATCAAGTTAGAATGAGTGAGCTGCACAATTGCAGGCTTGCAAGGATATCTGTGCACGTAAACACGAAGAGGTTACAGTCCTGTAACAGGACGAACAAAAATCAATCACCAAATGCAAGGGAGTGACAATGAGAGAGATCCAACTTTTCATGAAAAAGAAAAAAATCAGTTGAATATTTTATGACAGTTTGATATTTGAATGCCCTTCATCTAGATAACTCAATAACTTCAATCAGTATGACTATATAAGCTATTCTTGTTGACATTCGTAGTAAGGTTCATTGGGACCTATCTCTAAACGTTCTTACAATATAACCATGTTACTTTTTGGCTATACGAACATACTGAACAGCTAATATCTAAATCATCAAGTGCAGAATTGAAACAGCTTTCTGCAAGATCAAATAAATATAAATCTACATTTGGATGTTCATAATCTGAGCATTTGAAAAACAAAATTCTTCGATGAGATAAACCAGGAGATACTGCTGAAACAAATAATGAAGCATTGTATAAATTTTGAAACAGTGGCTCTAACCTCTGTTTGACTGCCTCCTATTAACACTATGACCACCAATAAAACCAGGAGAGCTTCTGGATGAGACATCAGAAGCAGCATTGCCGAGTCCATAACCAAAGGGTCCAGAGACGTCTCTTTCAAAATTGGAAGATCGCCACGTGAGATCGCCATAACTGGCATTGTAGAAATCTGCAAAAGGCCCGTCAAAACCGACAGTTGAGGTAGGAAATGATGATGTTGGAGGCAAAACAGTACCACTGTTCCTCCCATATCCTCCAGCTCCTATACTATAACTACTGTCAATACCTCCATAATTATGATTCGCAGAGTTACTAAAAACATTGTTTCCTCCACCTTGAGACAAGATTCCGGAGCTACCCCAGTTAACTCCAGAATTTGCAAATGCAGTTCCCCCAATGCCGCCGCCGACGCTTGCTGATCCCAAATGAGCATTGGAGTTGGCAGAGTTTGTTCCATTGTTGAGCCCTCCACTTCCCCACAAGTTTTGAGTAGCTGAGCTGAAGAAGGATGAGTTTCCTCCATTGCCACTCTCATACCCTATATTGCCAAATCTATCCGAATTACCAGTATAATACGGGCTCAGTCCCCGTCCATAATTGAGATTATTGGTAAAATTGGAACTTCCCCCGTACCCTGGATTCAAGCCAATCTCAAAGTTCACGCCCATTCCATAACCCGAACTGAACGGAGTGAATACACTTCGACCACTAGAAACTGGACTAAATCTACCATCCATTCTAACCCCATAACCTCCAATTGTACTTGAACTATACCCCTGAGTATAACCATTAAGGAAGCTATTGACCCTACTCTGACCATAATTGTAT